GCCGCGAGTCCCTCAACGTACGCCGCCTGCACTTCGGCCCGCCGCGACGGCTCCTCCACCCGCGCCAGCGTCTGCCGCGCGCCGTCCAGCAGCAGCTCGTTGGCCACGTGCACCCACCCCACCAGCTCTGCCTCCACCTCCGCCTCCGCGGCGCGCGCGCGTGCGGCAGCGTCCGGCATGAATAACCCGTCGGCTGGACCTTGTGGCCGCGGTGTGAAGGAAGCCAACGAACAAACCTCACACACGCACACACACAGAGAAAGAGAGAGAGAGAGATAAATAAAGGGGGAAACAAGTAGAGTGGGGCCACGCCGACGGCAAAGGTGTAGCAGCAGATGAGCCCACACAGAAAAGAGTGAGAAATTAAACGTACAGTGAGACACACACACACACACGCAGGCACGCACGTGGGCGCCTCGTGCGGCGGGGCGGTGCGTGCAACCCTCCCAGCGGTCGTTTCTGTGGGAGTAACACGCAAACAAACAACAGCAAAAAACTCCCCCCCCCAAAAAAAAACAACAACAACTTACAAACCGCGGTCGCAGCGACAGTGCGTGACGCAAGCGCGCGGCAAACACATGGCCCCAGCCCGCCCCATACAGCCAGGCAAGAGTGTGTTCATTTTGCGTGACACAACAAGGCGGCAGCAAACGGGAAACGAGGAAACAGCAACATATGCACATGAATTATTCTTTTTTTTTTCACTTCAAAAAAAAAAATAGCAAAAATAAAAAAAAAGGCACAGCGGAGCTTGCAAGGCGGCTGCCTCCCCGCCCCATCACCTCAGCGAGGACGAGAACGACTTCGACGGCGCGTCACGTTTGGCGCGGCCTTCGTCGCAGCTGCAGGGGCGTGCGCCTCGTCGGTCGCGGCCTCCGCTGCGGCGAGCAGCAGCGCCTGCCCCTTCGCCCTGAGTCGCTGCACATCCTTCTCCTCGTCGAGGCGCTGCAGTGCGGCCGCCACGCCCTCGCCCAGCAGCTGCCGGATGTCTTCCAGGAAGGCGGGACGGGTGTCATCCATGAAGTGGCGCAGCTCGCTCCGCAGCAGCGCCCGCAGCGCGTGCTCCGGGGACCGGTACGTGCAGGCAAAAAAGACGAGGGTCACCGCCGCCAGAAAAATCACGGCGGCAAAGAACGCGTTGTTGCCCACCACGCTCCGCGGGGCCGGAAGGAGAAACGGGCGCAGCGCATACGCCAAGGCCACCACACCCACGCACGGCCGTCGGGCGGCGGCCGTGCGTGGGGGGAGGGTAAGCAGCAGGAGCACCACGAGCAGGGCGGCGGCGCGCACCATCTCACCAAGCCCGATCGCACTTTCCAGGAGTCCCCGCTGGAAGGACTCGATTCGCCCCAGCACGTTTAGCATGCTGCTGGCATGAAGCTCGGTGCGTCGCTGAAACTCCGTCGCCTCCCGCGCCACGTCTCGCACGGCGGCGGCGGCCTGCGCGGTGCTCTCGTCAAGCGTCAGGTGCAGTTCGTTCAGGTGCAGGCTCGCATCCGCCAACGAGCGCACGATGCGTTCCGCGCTGCCCTGCAGCGACTCAAACGCCACGGTTTGGTCACTGCGAAGCTCCCGCAGCTGGTCGTGCAGGTGCCGCGTCGCCACCAAGTTGGAGGCCTGCTGGTCCGCCGCCTTTTGCACCGAGTCCTGCAGCTCACTGCTGGAGCTCTGCAGCGCCGCCAGCGCCTCCGAGGCCGCGGCTGCGCCGGCGTAGAGCGCCTGCACCGCCATCTCTGTGCGTTCCTGAAACGCCTCCTCCTGGATGTACAGGCAGAGCACGTCGGTGTGCAGTCGGTACTGGACGTACACGAGGTACTGCGCATCGTCGAGGTGGTCGACGCACCTGCGCACGCCCGTTTCAGAGGTGCAGTGCGGCCAGGCGCGGCGCCCGCCGTCTGCCGCGGCGTCGCACGCGGCCATAGCCATAGCCAGACGACTGCGTGCGCCGTCGTCGGAGCGGAGTGAGCCGCAGTCCTCCTTCAGCGCCTCCACTGCCCGCTTCCAACAGGAGCTTATGCGACCCTTTTCCTCCCACTCACGCAGCAGCTGCGCTGCCTGCTGGCCGTGACGGGCGTCTGCGTTTTGCCGCGACGAGAAACGCGGTGGCAGCTGCACGCGGCGGTGAGAACCCCCTGGCGCCGGTGCGGCGGCCGCGTCGGCCTCCGTTGCCGCGGCAGGGCGAGACGGCGACGTGAGCCACAGCGACCACGCCGCCGCGCAGCTGGACGGCGGGAACAGCAGCGAGACCAAGAGGACGACGCGCACACAAAAGAGGCTCATTTGAGGACAAACCGACAGAACCGCGTATGCGTATTTTTTTCTCCTTCTCTTCGCTTTCTCCTTCGTCCTCTCCACACCTTCAAGCTAAATCTTGAACGCAATTCAAAGGCTTTTTTTTTTGCCAAGCTTGATGACAGTGTGGGTGGTGACGGTGGTGACGGTGGTGGTGGTGGGGGGAGCGCAGTTAACGAAAAGAGGAAACGCAAAGGAAGAAGCGTAGCAGGAGAAGAGGTTGGGCGCGACAAGTACAAAATTACACGCTTTAGACGCCTTGCCCCTGTCTTCCCCTACAAACACGCCGCCTACTTCAGAGTGCCGCACCGCACTGCACACGCGCGGCCTCAGTGAAATAGCGACACAGGCACCTCCCTTGGGAAGCACTCGCGCGGTGGGGTGCGTTGCGGCCGCGAGGAGGCGCTCCCGCTGACCGCCGCGACGCGCTCCGTGAGGAACGCCGCCGCCGCCGTGCGGCTCCCCTCCTCCGCCCTCGCGCCATTGCGCGTGTCACGCGTCGCGCCGTTGCCGGGCCCCGCCGCCACGGCTGTTCGTCGCCGCGACGCCGCCGCGCGGATGCGCTGGTCGCGGCTGCGGAGGGCCGCCTCATCCGGCAGCCGCTGCGGGGCAACTTCGCCGCTGTAGCGCGCGGCCAGCGCCGCCCCTGCGTCGTCCATCACGAGGCGCCAGGTGGGCGGCCGCGCCGCGGCGAAGCGGCTTGGCAGAATAAACTCGCAGTTGCACGGCCGCGTGGTAGACATGCCGGCGCGACCGACACACACGCACGCACGCACGCCACGTTCTTCTCGCTAGAGGGAAGGAGAAATAAACTACGACTGTGAGGCGTGGAGGGGGGAAGCAAAAGAAAAGGAAGAATAACAAAAAAAAAAGAGCACAAAGACGGAGGTAGCGAAAATAAATAAATAAACCAACTTTTGCATCGACACCATCGCCTTAGCTCTCTCGCTCCGCCCCTCCGCTACAATATTGGGAGGGACCGCGGCTCTCGAAGGTGAATTCACTGATTAAAGACGGAGGTGGCACCACCTCGCATTACTCGGCGACAAACTCTCCGGACGGTGTTCCCTCCAGCACAAGCCTCTTCAACAGCGCGGCGTGCTGCGGGTCCATCTTCTGCAGGCAGCCATCACGCCGCAGCAGCGCCCAGACAGTGAGGACGTCGTCACCCTGGCTGCACGCGTCCCCGGCGTCGCCGTGAAGGCGCACCTCGCCGAGCAGCGCCTTCACTTGGTCAATCAGGAGCAGGGAGACGGCAAGGGGAATAGCTCCCTCCCCCTTCCTCGCGTGGCTGAGCAGAACACGAGTTGTGGCCTGCAAGGGGGCGTCATGCATGTCCGCTAGGCGGCACTCGTCGGCAGCCATCGCCACGCCGCCACCGGACGGTGTTGGCGGCGACGCCAGCTGCATCGCATGGTGCCAGAGTGCCGGAGTACAGTTTGGCTCGACGGCCTGTGCGCACTGAATGGCCAGTTCCCAGAACGAGGACTCCCTTGGCTGCCTCCGTCCTGAAACGTGGGTACGCTCAGCAGCGTCGGCGGCGCAGGCGGAGAAGAGGGCCGCCAGCATGCGTGGCGGCAGCGTGGTTGCCGTGGAACGCCGGTAGTGGTGGACGACGCGGAGCGCAAGCGCCCACCGCGGCAGCCGCTCCGTCGTGGCGGCCCCCGCGGAGTACCGGCGCCAGAGCGCGGCGTCGGGGTGGTGGTGGTAGTAGAAGCGCCCACCGCGGGCGTCCAGATCGAGTTGCGTGTGCAGCCGCTTGAGTGTCTTGAAGGCCAGCTTGAAGACTGCGCAAATGGCCCCCGTCGAGCGTGGCTGGCGCAACAGCGCCTCGCCCTGCGGTATCGCCTCCGCCGAAAAGTGGGCCGCCTGAATCGCGGAGCAGAGCTCACGGAGTCCCTGCTCGTCGCCCAGTAGCGGCTCGACGAGCGGCACGTACACCGCCAGCTGGCAGAGTTCCGGACCACTAAAAAACAGCTCTGGCCAAATGGCGCGACCGTACGTGGCCCAATACGACGCAACCTCGGCCCGCGACGCGTCTGGTCGCGTGATGAGCGACGCCGGGGGCTTTCCGCCGCTGCGCCGCACCGCCTGCAGCATCTCATACTCGCAGAGCCACGGCCACCGCCGCGCCGCCAGCTGCGCCACAAACGGGTGACACGCCTCCCACACTGCCGCCACCGTCTGCGGGGACGCAAACCCGTGGAACACGTCCGACGTTAGGCGGTCTATGAAAGCTGCGGAGCTCTGCTCCCCCGCTGGGAGCGACGGCCGCCGTCGCCACGCACGCTCGTGGGACAAGAGAAGGATGTGCAGGAGCCTATTTTCCCTGCAGTGTTCAACCAGCTGCGGATCCAGCGCCGCCGCGCTGCCGCCTGCGGCTTGCACCCGCGCCAGCACTTCGGGGCGGTAGTGCTGCAGCAGGAGCTTCAGCTCAAAGGGCCGAAAGCGCGCCGCGAGGGCCCCCTGGGCGAGTGCCTCCAGCCCCCGTGAGGTGGCCAGCACAAGGCGCGGGGCGAGCTGCGCGAGCTGCTGGAGCTCCGCCGCGGTTAGCGGCGGGCGCTCGACGGGGATCCAACGGGCCGGGTGAGGGCGACCGCGCGGCCCCCCGCCACGCAGCCGCCGCTGAATCCACGCCGCCTCCCCGCCGCGCCCCGCCGCGGTGATGGCGAGAATGAGGTCAATGACCTGCCGCTCACTGAGGGAGTGGCTGAGGCGCCGAAGGTTCCCGGCGCAGGCGTCGCGCTCCACGGCGGTCAGCTGCGGGCCGAGGCAGGAGCTCAAGAGCACCTCGTACTGCGGCGGCGTCGGCACCACCCCCATCTCCTGCACAACGAACAGCAGCACCTTGCTGCACATGACGGCACCGCCGGCGCTCCGCACGGCGCGCAGCACATCCGTGAGCCCCTCCCCCACCAGTGCACCACTCGCGGGCCGAAATTCCTGCTGCAACGTCGTCAACAGCCGCAACGCGGCCTCCCAGGGGCCAAACGTTGCCACCGTTGAAAGCAGCGCGTTAGCGACGCCGCCGCTCAAGCAGCCACGCGCCCCGCGTGACCAGCGTCCTTCTGCCGCGGTGACGCCGGTAAACAGCACCAGGGCCGCCTTCCATGCCTGAAGCTGCGTCAGCGCCATCAGCGCCTCCTCCGCCTGTCGCCCAGCCACGGCGGCTGCGTCATCCGTCGCCGTCGCCTCCAAAATGACACGATGTGCCGCTCGCACACGGCGGTCATTTTCTTCCCTCAAAAGAACGGCCGTCTGGAAGAGTGCCTCCTCGTCGGCCCTCTCGCACGCCTGCATCGCGGCGAGGGCGCGACCCCAATTCCCCGCCCGTATGAAAGCCTGTGCACACTGCCGTAAAAACGCATCCCGCTCTTCTTGTGACGGCCGCCACGAATCCTCCGCCGCATCCGCGTCGCCCTCCACGTCTTCGGCTGTGCCCAACGCGCCACGCTGCCGTAGAGCCTCGTAGAGGAGAGGGGCAGCCGAGCTCTCCGTGGGACCCGCAAGCCCGCCCGCCACAACGCGCACGACGGCCCAAGGAACAGGAAGCTCCCGCAGAAGCATGTGCCGCGAGAGTTGTATCGCTGTGCGGAGGGCGCACCCACGCAGGGCCTCACTGTCGCTTTCCCAGCACGCCAGCAAAGGTGCGTTGAACAAGTTGACGTCCGCAATGGATGTCACGCAAGACGTGAGAGCTTCCATGACAGCCTCGACCTCGGCTGCCTGCGACGGCGTTGCCGCATGGAGGAGAATGGGTGAGAGCATCTTCTTCACGTGAGGCACCTCTTCCAACCCGCGCACGACGGCGTTGGCGGCCTCCGTGTCCCGCGAGGACGCGAGCCTGCGAAGAATCCCAAAGGCACCCGCATGGTTTCCGCTCAGGCTTAGCGCAAGAACGGCGTAGCAGTCAAGCACCACCCGGTAGGCCGCATACCTCGCCCTGTACTCCTGCAGCACGCGTCCGTAGGAAAGTGGGGACAGGCGAATGTAGTAGAAGAGCTGCAGGCAGCGCAGCAGAATGGGGTCGGCGGCGGTGGGTGTGTGCAGGGAGAGCACTAAGCAGCAGTCGTCGTAGCGTTGGTGCTCGAGGAGCAGTTTGGCTGTGCACTTCACGGCATGCGGCGAGATACGGAGGTGGGCGTCCCCGTCAGGCGCCGCCTCGCGCTCGCGCTCGCCCTCGCCCTCGCCGCGGCGTGGCGTCCGGTCATGGCGGAGGACCCCGCGAACGGCGCCCCACGCCTGCAGCGCCTTGCTCCAATCATCGCGTTCAGCCGCGTCGCGGATCGTCGCCTCCGCGTGACGCAGGATGCAGTACCGCTGCAGCTGCGTCTCCGCCGCGGTGGGTGCGGGAACGTAGCGAAACAACATGTGTAGCGCGCGGCCCCACTGCCCCAGGGCCGCACAGAGCGGGATCGCCAAGCCGCGCAGCCTCAGCGTGTCCCCTGGCAACTGGCTTTGGGCGTAGCGCAGGGCGGGCGCCCACAACTCCATGGAGATAAACAGGTGCTCCAACGCAGGTCCAGCACGCTCTTGGGCGCTTGGCTGCAGCTTGCCGTACAGTGCGACGGCGGCCTGCCAGTTGCCACGCTCCACGAGTTCTGTGAACACCACAGTGGGACGCCCGGTGAGCGCCAGCGCGTCCTCCCAGCTCCCACGCGCGCAGGTGAGCCGCACAACGGAGCGAAGGCGGGCCGGCTCCGGCGCCCCAACCTCGTGCGTGCGCCTGGCGTTCACAAAGGCAATCACGGCGTGCTTTGCACGCGCCACCTCCTCCGCCTGCGTCTGTGCGTCGGCGTCATCTCCCTCCCCGCTGCGCAGGTAAGCCAAAAACAGACTCGCTGCGTGGAGGACGGCATCCATGGGGGCGGCAGCGAGGGCGGCAGCAACGGCCTGCCACAGCGCCTCCCAGTAGAAGCAGCGCTGCGGCACACCGTCGAGCCGAGTCATGGGCGGCAGCAGGGCTCGCGGTCCGGGCGTCAGCTGCAGCAGCGCCGGAAATAAGTGAACCAACTCCAGCGCCCTCGCCCACTGCCGCTCCCCCAGCGTGGCGAGGGCCTCCGTGGCCTCCATCAGCGTGAGGTCCTCCGGCGTCGGACGACCGTCGGCGAGGCGCGGCGTCGCTTGGCGTCGCTTTTCCTTGGCGTTTGTTTCAGGCAACTCCGCGCGCTGCCGCACCTCCGCGCGCAGCTCCCCGGCGCGCCGCCTGACCCCCGGCTCGTCTCGGCAGGCGAGCACCGAGGCCACCGCCAGCGCCCGCCACCACGGCGATGTGGGAGTAAAACAGCAAATAAAACTTTCCGTCACGGCCGCACTCGGCACGCCACCGGAGGCCAGCAGGGAGGACATGATCTTTGACCCCGCGACCCACTGTCGCCCAGCCGCAGCCGCTCGCATCGTCGGCTGTGCCAGCGCCGGCGCGTGCTGAACCAGACGCTCCTGTGAGCCCGCAAGCAGGGCACCCTGCCAATCCCCGGCGTCCAGCAACAGGCGGCTGCATTGCAGGTGGTGGTGGGGGGCCAACGCGGGCACGCGGCGGCGCCGGGCCGCGAGCAGGAGCGCAAGCAGCGTCTCCGCCGCACCTTCTTCGCGGCGTGCAAGTATGGCGTCCGCCGCCGTGTGGTAGACAGCGCGGGCGGAGAGGGGACTGGTCTGCATTCGATCCAGCACCCGCACAGTCACCTCCCATGTGCTGCGCGTGGCGACGGCGGCCACCACCTCCGCGTACGTCCGCGCTGTCGGGGTGCACGGCAGCCGCACCGCCCCCGCGAGGAGCATCGCGGCACGTGCCCAGTTGCCGCCCCTCAGGGCTGCCACAACGACCTCCTCCACCTCCCGCGCGGAGGGCAACATTGCGGTCGACTTGGGTGCCGCTTCCTGTACCTCCACCCCCTCTCCAGCTGTGCCTACCAAAGACACGGAAGAAGGAGAAAACAAAAAAAACAAGAAGAAGAAGTAGAAAGGGGGAGAAGGGCATTAAAAAAAAGCAACAACAACAACAACAATGAAAAAAAAAAAGGTGACACCGTTCACAGGGCAGCAGCACTGTGCCTCTGCAGATGATTGTTGCTGCGTTAGCGACCGCCGCCGCAACACGCCACGTGCCCAACGACGCCGAGACCGCCACCGCTCAAAGCGATATCTCCCCGTCTTCTCCGCCTCCGCCTCCGCCTCCGCCTCCGCCGAGCCGTCAGCAGCGGCGTGGTCGCCGGGCAGCGCCTCTGCCAGTGCCCGCCGCTGCGCGGCGGCGCCATCCTGCAGCATCTTCCGTATCTCCTCACGCACGGCGTAGAGCTCCGCGACACGTGTCTCCATCTGCTTCACGGACTCCTCGAAAAGGGCGCGTTCCTTTTGGAGGGCGCTCAGCACCGGCTCCAGCGATTCACGACGGTACAGCAGCAGATTGGCCACGAGTGCCTCGTACTCCGCCTCCGTCGGAGACCAAAGGGGTGACTGGAGAAGACGCGTCGCGGAGTTCTCGGGCCGCTGCTGTTGTGCAGGCGCTTCCGCCACTGCCGCTGCCGCTGCGCCTCCCACGACGGTGTCCGCTGCTTCAGAAGCCTCTTTGCGCACCTTCCGTGCGGTGCCAACTTTCCCGCTGCTTTTGCCACGCCGCCGATCCCCGCCAGACTTCCCGGCCGTGGCGTGCCTCGCCGCCGCGGCGTAGGGCACCCACGTGCTGCCGCCGATGGCAGCGCAGGCCCACTGCGAGCGCAGGCGGCGAAGCAAAGCGGTTGCCGCCGTCATCGCCTCGCCCTCTTCACGCTAGGGCGGAGAAACGAGCGGACCCACTTCCCCTTCAGTAGCCGTTAAAGAAGACATACACACAGACACGGAAAAAGGAGAAGATGAAAAGAGAAGAACAGAGAGAGGCAAAAAAAAAAGGAGGTGCCACGGGCAAAACATCCTTGGCTCCCTCTTCTCTCAGAATGTTTGTGTGTGTGTGTGTGTGTGCAGACGGCACGCAACATTGCCCCGCATTTACTGTTGGTAATGTTTAATCAAACCACGGGCAGGGTCGATACGCAACAGCATCTTAGGGCTTTACGGTGTACACAAAGAGACGGTACATGTCGCTGTCGCCGAGAAGCGTGTGACGCACCTGCTCGCCCCACGCGAACGCGTCCCCCTTCGTATAGTGCAGCCGCATGTAAGGCACCACCCACGTGATCTGCATGAAAGCGCCGTATCCCTTGGCGTGTCGCAGGAGCCCGTCGACGCCGTGCAGCATAGCCGCGATGTCGTCCTCCATCGTCGGACTCTCCTTATCGGCCTCAAGAGCGTCCATCGTGCCCTTGTCAATAATCGCGTCAAAGGGGCCCAGCGAACGAAACGCCTCAAGACGGCGCACGTCGCCCACCCGCCACGTCGTGTTTGGCAGCACCTCGGGCGGGTACTTCGCCTGCATGTTCGCGATGACGTTGGGGGCGTAGTCCATCGCCACCTGCTCCAGGGTGAATGGGAGCTGGCGCGCCTGCACGGCCTGGTGGAGGTCCATGCAGAGCGACGAGTTCCCGGTGCCCAGGTGCAGCACGCGCAACACCGGCCGGCCGCCGTGTCCCGCGCCGGCCACCGTGGCACCCCGCGCCTCACGCAGCCCAAGCACCTTCTGCAGCTCGTCACAGAGCGCCAGCACCGCGGCCTGGTGGACGGAGGGGAACCAGTTGTACTGCGCCTCCCGGCTGTAGCGCCGCTCCCAGTAGCTCTGGCGGCTGTACTCCGCCACGTCGTCCGGCTCCATCGGCGCGACCCCGCCTGTGCGGTCTTGGCAGCCGCGGCAAAACAGGCGAGAGTGAAAGAAAGGCGAGGGGGACGAAGAAGAAGATGGCGCAGTCAACGGCACGGCCGTTGAGGGGCAGAAGAAACAAACAAACAAACAAAAAAAAAGGCCAGGCAAAACCCAGCGGCAGCAACGGCGTGGGCACCCACGCCGCAGTTTTTACTCCCAATAAAACAAAACGGCGCCGAGAAGCAAAGCAACAAAATTACCTGAGAGCTATGAAATGATAGGGGCGTGAAAAAAAAAAAACAACGCCCACGGGAGACAACCTCACTGATGGCCCGCCGCAGCCGCCGTCGCAGCGGCGTCGAGGGGCTCTCAAGGAGAAAGTCGACGGCACACGTTTTTCCTCTTCACGCCTCCGCAGAGCTGGGCGCGCGCGGGGTGAGTGGGTGGGTTCAACCCTTCCAGCACTTCGTCTGCGCGAGTGCGGCCCCTGCGAGGAATCCGGGCGCGCGAAAAGCAAGGAAAACAAACAAACGAGCGCGCACACAGACATAGACACAGACACGCATAAAAGACGTGGTGAGGTAATAAAAAAAAAAGCAGTAAACCGGCGGGGGAGTCACCACAACAACCCCGCGCCTCCTCCTGTGAAGATCAATAAAAGATAAGCATCCCCCACGCCGACGAAGGCGGTTCGCCGTCGCGAGGAAGCAAAACAAACAAGCAACCACAACCAGGGCAGTTAGTCACGGCACACCACTCGTCCCTTCCATGCATGGAGGGATGATGTGTACAAGTAACCCACAAACGGAAACAAAGCTACAGATTATGCAAGAAACAACAACAACGGAAAAAACGACGCCCTGCTGGTTCCAGAGGGAAAGATGGGAGACGCAAGCACGAGAAGGGGGAAAGTGGCATTAGAACAAGGAAATCCGCCTACGCGGGAAGCCGAGGCCGACAACGACTGCTCGTTTCCTCCGACTTTCCCCATTTGGCTTCCTTGCTGGTGGGTTAGGTGGGTAGACTCACTCTTGCCGCAGGAAGTGCCCTGGCACGGGCGGGATTCTGCCCCACAACTGGGTTCCCTCAAGCCTCAGGGTGTACTCTCCAAGCGACGCGTCGAAGCTCAGCACCAGTGCGCCGTCCATAGCGTCCAGATTGCCGCCGGTGGAGGGCTCTAGGGGGGGAGCCACGACGTTGAGCAGCACGCGGAGAACGCAGGTGCGGATGTACCTCTGCAGGAGGTTGTTGCCGAGGAGCTCCGTCCAGCGGCACCGCACCCGAACGTGAAAGCCAAGCTGCTGGCAGCACCGCCGCAGTTCGCGCAGACGCACCCTTCGGCCCTCCACCGGGTGCATCCACAGTCTGCGCAAAACCGGCTGCCACAGCGCCAGGCTGCCAAGGCTGTAGTCCTCGACGGGGAACTTGTCCTCGCTTGTCTCCTCAGCCGCCTCCTCAGCCGTTTCTTCACTCGTTTCATAGGCCGCCTCATCACTCGTTTCATAGGCCGCCTCGTCACTTGTTTCATCAGAGTCTTCCTCGACAGCGCAGTGGCTGAAGTGCAGCGCGGCGAACTCCTCCATGAGTATGGTGCGGCAGCTGCGCTCCAGATCCCCCCGGCACTTATCACGCACGAGGCATCCCAGCATCGAATCCGCTTCCTTCACACGTTCGATGTTCTCCGTGCGCAAATAGCACCGCAACACCCCTGTCGCCAAGAGCCATTCCGTGTTGGGCTGCGCCGCGTTGTGGGCCACCTCAAAGCAGAGAATGCCCGCCCGTGCCGCCAAATACTTTTTCCACGAGCGCCCATACATGACGTTGACGATCGCGTCATACTCCTCCGGAAAGTCCCGCTGTATCCGATCCTGCAGCCTCTTGGAGCAGACGGAGCCGTGGTGCGGCGACTGCTCCTCCCGCATCGTTGTGAACGTCCCCCGCACCGCCAGCGCGAGCCGCATCAGCGTCTCCGCAACGGCGGGGCTCAGACTGCCACTCCCGCTGGAGGCCTCGGAGGAGGTGGCGGTGTCGGACCTGGACGCCTCGCTCTGCGTGAGGTCCATCGCAAACGTTGGAGGTTAGAGACCCGGGGGAGATGGTGGTGGTGGTGGTGTCCACCGCCGCTTGCCTCTCGGCGCATGCGTGGGCGGAGGAATCACACGCACGCACACACACAAAAGAGGGGGAGGGAAAACACAAAAAGAAAAGAGAGAGGAAAAAAAAAGGCAAAAGGCGGGGGATCGAGAGGAGGGAGAAGCGGCGGCGGAGGAGCAGGCGCCGCGGGCACGAAATAACCGCGGCAGATGTCGGCAAGAGAAAACTAAAAAAAACAAAAGAAAAAAACAAAACAAACGAGAGGGAGGGGGGAAGAGAAGAGAAGAGAAGAGAAGCGAAGAGCTGCAGGCGGGAGCCCCCCCACCCCCACGCAGAGAGCAGAAGCAAAGAAAAGAGAGAAATAACATATATATATTTTTTATCTGCGTCAAAGACTCAACTCCATTTTTTCAACGACGCAGAAAAAAAAAAGCGAAAAGAAAAACAAACAAACAACAACAACAACAACAGCAGCAGCAGCAACTGCTAGAAAACAAAAAACACACACAAAACATCACTAGAAAATAAAATTCCAAAAAAAACCCACTTGATTCCCTACCACATCCAACATCTTTTGCTCCCAATGAACACGCAATGCATTGCGGAGAAATAAAAAAAATACAAACACACAATTTTACCCTTGGCTCCCCCCCACGCGACATAAATGCGGCACCAGTGCGCCAATAACAATTCATGCCCCCAAACACCCCGACACGCGGCCTCAGAAAAATAGCGGAGGTGCAGAAGAGTCCGACGCTCCTAAAAAAGCGCAGGGCAGAGCGGCTGCACGCGTGTGTGTGTGTGTGCCTGGAGGAAGGAAGATCCCCAGAGGCAAACTGAGAGAAAGAGCAACGTCAGTTTCGGCGCGTGAGGCACACGAAGCGAGCAACTTACATACAACAAAATATAACGAAGCCTCTCCTGCCCCACACTGCACCCGGATCCGTACCGCCTTCCTTAGCCCATCCGATTCTCTTCCCATGAGGTGCAGGGCGCGTCCACGCAGACCTCCTCTCGTCTGCGGGCGTGGCAGCCGGCCGCCGGCCGTGGCTAGGCTGCGACGGTAACCCGAGCCGAGGCACGGCAAGAAAAAAGGGCGCATGACATGGGTGTGACACACACGCCCAGACCCCGCCAGTAAGAGCGGCTGTGCCGGTTCCATCGCACTCCCAC